TATTTCCACTCACAGAGATGAGGCCGGGGTCCTCTCATACATCGCCCTCCCATAACCCAAAATGCAAATGCAACGTACATACATTGTATTTGAATACAATGTACCCTATAAAGGGCCGCCCTGGAAAAGTTGTACCTCTAAATTTGTTACACAACAGACATACGTTGTACTGGTACACAACAACAATGTGAGGATTGAGCCCTCAAGTAGGGGCCTTGCCATGATGTACATGTCCTGGGCTAAGGCCCCAGCAAGCCTCGTGCCTGCCCTAAGTGAAGGCGGGCCAGCAAATCAACAAGAGCCCTCTGTGCCAACATTTCACAAAGTGGGGTCCATACAGTTGCAGCACGCCAGTTGATTGGAGTGCACCGAGTCTCCAATTTCAGCAAATGTTGAAAGCCCAGGGCCTCTAAGTTAGTTAGGCCCTGGGCACTCGAATGTGAGGCCGACAATGCATGCTGGGTATAGAGGCCGAAAATGCCAAAGGGAAATCGGCCCACTATCTGAATCTGGCCGCAGGCCTTGATGAAGGAGGCACAACTGCATTGCCCCAGGGCCCAACTGTATCGGGCTGGGTTCAGCCTCTGGGTCCCGGTCACAGGCTGAAGTGAGGCCGCCCACACGCTGCACTGGCATATAGGCAAGCAGGGCGAGTGGGCAGGGATCTTGGCCAATGTTGGCATTGCGGGCACGCTGTGCGGATGCATGTGTGCTGCGCTGTGCAGAGCAGCGCTGCGCTAAGGTGAAGAGTAGATAGGGCGCCTGGCGCCATTCACAAGAGAGAGCTACATTGGGTTATGCTGTTGGTGTTGCCCTGTAGGGCATGGACATTGACTCACGATTCTTCTGTATCATTCTCAATTGGATGGTTACTCGGTTCCATTGTGCTATCTGCTCTGGCTTTGACTACATGGACTTCAGTGTGATTTTGCATTCTGGATTTCTGTGCTTCGTCCATATTCATGTTCCATGCAATTTGGTATCGGAGCTGGTTTGATCGCCACTTACCTTCAGCATGCTGGCGTTATACAAACTTGGTGCGTTGATGATGCTTCTTCGCAGTTGGTACTTGTGACGTCAGGCCATTGATAGGCGCACGCCCTGGGCAGAGAGGGGTGCGCCGAAAGGCTACAGACGGCATTAATAGCCGTGGTGACAGGCGGAATGTTTGATTGATGATGAGAACATGCTGATGTGGCATTGGACTAAGGTGGCACTACATTGCGTTGTAGGTGGTACCGAGGTCATGACCGGTCATCAAATGTAACATTAGCTCAATTGGTGAGAAAATCTGTGGTTGGGGGCAGCTAGCTCAAGGTATGTTGATCCCTTACCTTATCTACCTTCTCAATCTCTTCTTACCGTGAGGAAGTGAGTCCAACTTGAGAGTCCTCTCCTTGGTGAGGTGTCGTGAGCGCGCTGCGTTGAGAGACGACAATCTTCCCGGAAGCATCTGGAAGGAGAAAGGGCGGTGCCTCTCTAGGGCCCTGGTCGAAGCACTGGGTCACGGTCACCATGCCAACCCAATGGGAGTAGGTCACGCATGCGATGGCTGCTGTCCATTAAGGC